GTGACGCACGCGACAATCTGACAATGGAGGGCGAGTCGTCGACACCAGGGAGAGGACCAGCGTGACACGCGGAGAGAGGGCGGACATTGTGCGTCGTGAGGATAATCTGCGAATGGAAGGACGCTTCGAGGACACCCGAGATCTGACTACGGTCACGCGAGGCGAGCGAGCTGAGATCGTCCGACGTGAGGACAACCTGAGGACCGAGGGGCGGTTTGAGGACACGAGAGAGTACACCGCCGTGACACGGGGTGAACGCGCGGAAATTGTTCGCAGGGAGGACAATCTGCGAATGGAGGGCCAATTCGAAGGCCGCCCCCGGGAGGGTGCTCCAAGGGGTGAGAAGGTGAAGCCCGTCAAACATCACGATAACCTCAAGCCAGAAGGCGACTTCACGGGTAAACCCAAAGATGATGTGCCGAGAGGGGAGAGGGCGCCAGTGGTGAAACACCCGGACCACCTCAAGATGGAAGGAGATTTCATTGATGGCAGGGACCGGCACTCGCCCGGCAAGGGGCAGCGCGCCCCCATCGTGAAGCACCCAGATCACCTGAAGATGGAGGGTGACTTCTACGATCGTCCCGATGGGGAGGCACCGAAGGGAGTGCGTGCGCCTGTCGTTAAACACCCGGATCATCTGAAGATGGAGGGCGACTTCACAGACGGCAGAGATCGGCACTCGCCCGGCAGGGGACAGCGTGCTCCAATCGTTAAGCATCCAGATCACTTGAAGATGGAGGGCGACTTCTATGACCGCCCGGACAAGAAAGCGCCGACGGGTGTACGTGCACCTGTTGTTAAACACCCGGATCACCTGAAGATGGAAGGCGAATTCACTGACGGTCGCGATCGGCATTCTCCCGGCCGGGGACAGCGTGCCCCTATTGTACAGCACCCGGATCACTTGAAGATGGAGGGCGACTTCTACGATCGTCCCGACAAGAAAGCGCCGAAAGGTGTGCGAGCGCCTGTCGTCAAGCATCCGGATCATCTGAAGATGGAGGGCGAGTTCACAGACGGCAGGGATCGTCACTCGCCCGGCAGGGGACAGCGTGCTCCGATCGTACAGCACCCGGACCATCTCAAGATGGAGGGAGACTTCTCTGATCGTCCGGACAAGGAAGCTCCGAAGGGTGTGCGAGCACCAGTCGTCAAACATCCGGACCATCTGAAGATGGAGGGCGAGTTCACAGACGGCAGGGATCGGCACTCCCCCGGCAGGGGACAGCGTGCTCCGATCGTACAGCACCCGGACCATCTCAAGGTAGAGGGAAAGTTTACTGACACTCGTGATCGTACGACAGTGACGCACGGGGAAAGGGCCGACATTGTTCGTAGAGAGGACAATCTTCGCATGGAGGGTCGGTTTGAGGACACCAGGGAACAGACCGTTGTAGCTCGTGGCGAACGAGCCGAAATCGTGCGCAGAGAAGACAATCTCCGCACAGACGGCAAGTTCGAGGACACTCGCCAACACTCTGCGGTTACACGGGGAGAGCGAGCAGACATCGTTCGTCGGGAGGACAATCTCCGCATGGAGGGCAAGTTCGAGGACACCCGTCAACGCTCTACGGTTACGCATGGCGAGCGAGCCGACATCGTTCGCCGGGAGGACAATCTCCGCATGGAGGGCAAGTTCGAAGACACTCGCCAACACTCTGCGGTTACACGGGGAGAGCGAGCAGACATCGTTCGTCGGGAGGACAATCTCCGCATGGAGGGCAAGTTCGAGGACACCCGTCAACACTCTACGGTTACACATGGAGAGCGAGCCGACATCGTTCGCCGGGAGGACAATCTCCGCACGGAGGGCAGATTTGAGGACACCCGTCAACTCTCAACAATTACACGCGGGGAGCGAGCCGACATCGTTCGCCGAGAAGATACACTCCGCATGGAGGGCAAGTTCGAGGGCCGGCCGCGCGGAGAGGCGCCGGCTGGCGAGCGGGCGCCGCGCGTGCAGCACCCAGACAACCTGAAGCCGGGCGGGGAGTTCACGGGTAAGCCACGAGAGGCGGCGCCGCGCGGCGAGCGTGCGCCTGTGGTGCGCCATCCGGACCACCTGCGCATGGAAGGCAAGTTCGAGAGCGGCCGCGAGATGGTGACGGTGATGCGGGGCGAGCGGGCGGAGATCGTACGGCGCAGCGACAACCTGCGCATGGAGGGCGACTTCAGCGGCCGGCCGCAGCAGCAGGCGCCCGTCGGAGACCGCTTCCCCGTGAAGAAGCACTCGGACAACCTCCGGATGGACGGCAAGTTCACCGGTGAGTGAACGCACGGCGCCGGACGCGACTGGTGTTGCTGATGTGCATGTCGTTACTACTCTGGTTCAGGCAAATATTTGTCTTACGATGCAGCGTTGTTCCTTCTGATGCAATTGCACCGACGTTGAAATTACCAGCACGTATGATCATATATTCGTCGTCTGTTTTTTTTCTTGCGATAGGGTGTTCCCTACGGTGCAAATGTACGGATGTTGGAGTTATCACCGCATAATGTGATATATTCGTTGTAAAGTTCGGGATATGTGGCATGTCGCATCGCATATGTCGCATATGCACTTGGTCAGGTAGTTTACTTGGTCCTGTATGCGTGGTTTTCTACTGGCATCCCTGCGTACGTTAAGTACGTAGTACGTCATGAATGCTTCTGTTGCGGTTTACGGCATCAGGCATCCATTTGCTCACTTCGACACAATGCGCTACAGTCAACTCCTACTGCGAACCATCGTTCCGCTTACGTCCCTCTACCTTCATGTCATGTCATCTTCATGTCCCTGTCGTGTGCTGTGCGACGCTGCCATCATCGCTCAGACGGCTCGGCGCTGACGCCACCATCCCCGGTGTCCACAGACGGGCGGCAGCAGACGACCGTCGGTCAGGGCGAGCGGGCCTCCATAGTGAGACGCGAGGACAACCTGCGGCTGGAGGGCAAGTTCGAAGGTGGGCTCACGCGCTGGGCCCTGTCGGAGGGCTCGGGGCAGAGGGCTGCACTGCACCCATCCAGTCTGAGCCATGCGGCATGGGGCTGGGAGGTAGCCATACAGCACAGCCTTCGAAGCACGTATCTTCTGTCATCAGTCTGTTTATTCACGTTCTGTCCTTAATCAGTTTGCTATCATCGTTCGACGTATTGGCTTTGCGTCATCATACAGTCTTACTAGTTTTTACAACACCGTTTTTGATAGCATTCTGCGTAACTAATTTCGCCGTGCATCAGTGGACAGGCGGCAAGTTAATAGCCTGTGCCGTGCTTGTTTCACTAACTCGTGTTCGCACTGTTATAACTAACAATGTCACACACTGCATGGGGGCTCTTTGTAGCATAGTGTGGTATGCGTCGTGAGAAGTTTAGCAAGAGGCAGGATTTGCAAGCACATGTCGTTGGTTGGACTCGTCATCATGCTAAAGGGTAGTTAAGCATTTTTGGCATATGCTTCTACTAGGGCATACCAAGTCTATCGAAATTAAAGTGCACAGGAGGCTTGTCTGGCATAATGTTACCAAGGGAGATAGCAACTTTTCAACTGTTTCAACTGTAGCAACTGTTGGTGTGTAACTGCAGCGAGGATCGGGAATGTTTGTAAGCGTTTTGTAGTGGTTCAATACCAGGGATTGTGCAGATGTATGATGGTGGCATTGGGTCATAACTGATCCTTGGTACTCCCACGCCCGTAGGAAACATGTTAATGATCGGAAATATTGAATTGTCTCTAAAATGTTACCAATTTCTACCACATTCCTCCGAATTTATGCAGCAGTATGGCTCCCTTGGCCCTTCCCTTGCTTGCGTCGCGCTGGGCACAACACATGAAATTGGGGGCAAAAAGAGCCGCTGCAATGATTACACAGCACCATGTGCTGTCTCTAGGTGGTCGACTTGGACGCTTGGCTTGACTGCACATCACTTTTGATATAAACTGGACGTTAGGAAGCACTTGCGGCGCTCACTGGCGCTGTCAGTAAGATATCACCCCACCGTGCACCTGCAGTGATCCCAGAAGGGCGCTCGTTGTTCACCACATCACCTGTCTCTGATCTGTGTGCACGCACCCCTACACACAGCCCAGCCCACAGCCTCACTGCCTGTCGACTGTTGTGCACACGTCTCGCTAATGACGGCGGGGTTACACAGACACGCAGCGACGCGCCACGCCGGCGGCCGGCGAGCGCGCGCCGCCGCGCCGGCCGGAGGATCAGCCGAGTCTTCAAAGTCAGTTCGCCGGCCGGCCGAGAGATGGCGCGCCCGGCGCCGAGCCGAGGCCGGCCGGGCGCCGCCGCTCCTGCTGTGTTGTAGTGGTGCGCTCCGGCCGGGCCCAAGTGATGCACCAGCCTGCCTGCCTGCCCTTCGGAGACGGCGAGCCGCCGGCCGGCGCTGGCTCGCTCTGTCGCTGCTGGCCCGCCCGCCGACACCACGGCTACGCGCAGCTGTAGCGCCCCGCAGGCGCCGCGATCTCGGCGATTTCGTTCCGTTCCGTTCCACCGCAGGTTTTGTTTCCTTACGTCAACTGTTTTCTCGCGCTGCACCCGCCGGCTGCACCGTTTTGTTCATGCACCCGCGACGACGATCGGCAGATTCCCGGCGGCAGACGACCGTGATGTCAGGCGAGCGAGCCGAGATCGTACGGCGCTCCGACAACCTGACGGTTGGCGGCGGCGACTTCAGCGCGCCGCGCGCGCCGGCCGCGCCAGCCGCCGGCGAGCGCGCGCCAGTCGTCCGGCCCCAAGACAACCTGCGCTCCGAGGGACAGTTCTCCGGTCAGTGGACTGGCGCGGAGGTGATCTGCGGCCGCCGGAACAGACGCGCGCGGTCGTGACGACGAGTTGGCCGTCGGCGAGGCGGCTTGAATAGCGTTGGTTTCGCTTCGTTTGCGAGCTTTTGTTGCTTTTGCTTCGGCGCCACGAGGCGTCGGTTGAGCTTAGTGCCTGCCCTCTGTTCGTTCCGTTCTGCTTTATCTGTTTCGTTCCGCCCCATGTTTTCCTGTGTTTCGTCCTGTTTTGTTTGGTGGCCACGCGGCGCGGGCGCGGGCTTGACCGGCGCCGGACGCCGCAGACACGCGCCAGCGGACGGTCGTGAGCCGCGGAGAGCGCGCCGAGGTGCGCCGCCACCAGGACACGCTCAAGATGGAGGGCGAGTTTGTGGGCCGCACTGAGCAGCGGCACTCCCAGCACACGGTGCAGCAGCGCGAGGTTCGCGCGGCCGGCTCCCCCGGAGGTACGGCCGACGCCGCTCGCCCGCACTGACGGCCGGCCGCGCCCGGCGCCCGGCCGTGACCGGCGCCCGGCCGCGACCGGCACTTGTGCGAGCGAGTCCGGATACGCGTCGCCGGGTGCTGTCTTCGGGTTTTGTGTGGTTGCAAATTATTGCGATTGATCGGCTATCAAGTATCACTCGCACCTTGTTAAAGTGGCTGGTAGTGCTGATATTGCCAGTTTTGGAGTTGCATACGTGCGTGAGTGGAATGAAGTGTCCGAGCGTGCTAAAAAAGGTGAGTGCTGTGAGATTAGTGAAACCCGTTTAGATTAATTATCTGCGCAGTTGTTAAAACGCAGTTTCCTTTGCAGCCGTTCCCACCAGCCAGAACGACTTCATGCCGTTTTAAAACGGTGAACAAGCAAGTGGGCCAGTCGACACAGCAGACGTCTGCAGTTCAGCAGTCTACCAGCCAGCAGCAGACCGCCTCTAGCTCCACCACTGCCGTACGCTCGGAGCAGCAGTCGGCGTCCGCCAGTCACATGGAGCAGCGCAAGACGTCGTCCGCCGTGTCGGAGCAGCGCAAGACGTCGTCCGCTGTGTCGGAGCAGCGTTCGACTGCCACCCAGCAGTCGGAGCAGCGCAAGATGGCCAGTCAGACTGCGCAGCAGAAGATCTCCAGCCAGTCAGAGCAGCGTGCCATGTCGACCAGCGAACAACGCACCATGTCGGCTAGCGAGCAGCGCACCATGTCGGCCAGCGAGCAGCGCACCATGTCGGCCAGCGAGCAACGCGCCAGCTCGGCCACACAGTCGCAGACGGTCACGAGCAGCGTGAGCCGCTCGGAGAACGCGCGCCAGATCCGCGACTCGTCGGCGCACCGGCGCGCCACGCGCCAGAACACGTGGACCCGCGAGGACGGAGAGCGCGCCAAGGCCGTGCGCCAGGCGGACAACCTCCAGCTGGAGGGCTCGCACAGCTTCGAGACGAGCTCGGGCCGGCGCGGCCAGCGCCGCCTGGCGCCCGAGAACCAGCCAGTGGCCGGGCAGCGCTCTGGTGGCGTCCTGGTGTCGCCGGTCACCCAGGAAACGAAGCGCTCCGTCAGTGACCAGAAGTTCGTCGGCTCGCTGCGCAAGGAGGAGGAGAAACGTAAAGAAGTGGGCGGCCAACACGCAGCAGCGCAGTACCGTGAGTAGCGCCGCGAGCAGCGCCGTGCAGCAGCAGACCACCAGCAGCGCGACGCAGCAGCGCACCGAGTCGCGCACGGTGCAGCAGTCTGAGCGAGGTCGCTCCGTGCGCTCGTCCACCCAGTCCGGCGGCATCTTCCACGGCGACTACGACGTGTTCAAGGACAAGTCGATTAGAAGAACCAGTCGTACGCCACGTACAAGCCGTGTCCGGCTTCCACGGTCGACTCACCACTCTCCGGCCTGCGCGTGGTGAAGCAGACGCATGACCACAAGTACTACATGCCGAAAGTGAGCGACTAGAACCGTGCCGGACGTGGACACTTGACGCAGGGGGGGGGGGGGGAGGGAGAGGAGAGAGGTGCGACCGGGCGCTCGGGGTGCGGCCGGGCGCTCGGAGCGCGGCCGGCGCTGGCTCGCGGCCTCCCTTAGCCGCCGCCGCGCCGGCCGCGGCTCGATCTGCCCGGCTGGGCCGCGTTGGCAGACGAGCGTCGACGCTTACGTCACGCGCGGCGACGCTCGGACCACTTGTGATAAGACGCCTTCAGCCCGTCCACGAACGAGGCCTTGCGACCGTGCGGGGCGCCGGCGCTCCGCACCAGCGGAGCGGGCTGACTGTGCGCGGCCGAGGACGCGCCACGAGGACAATCAAAGTGGGACTGTAGCATGTTTTCTAGGTGGTGATGCTAGCATTTGCAGTCGCACTGTGTTCTATTAACATCAACCCGCTTGTGGTTACGGCAATCGGTATCCGTTGAACTAATGGCTATTTTTGCGAGGTGCAGCTGAAGGTGCTGTTGTATTTGTATTACTTACGTGCTGCAAAGGCGCTGCTGTATGCTCCTTTCGTTTATTTTCAAGGTGAAAATACGCTGCTTTCACATACGAAGTTTTTAATGGTATAATAATTATGCAATAAATGATTCTTAATACATTCCAGGCTTTGATTGTACAATTTTTGGTTGATATATCCAAGTATTTCTAGAATGGTGGGGTCAACCCTCGCCGTGGTCAGACCCAGATTCAGCGGCGATACGACGGAGGAACTATCGGGCTGATCCCTGATATCGGGCTGATCACAACACATTCATGTCAAATGACGGTGCGTTTCACCAGCAGAGCGAGAAGCGCCGACCTAGATAGACTGGGCAGCCGCCCACCCGCCTGGCCTCGCCGGTCACGCCGCGCACGTCCGCGCCGCGCGGCAGGACGAAAACGGCTCTCACGCCACTGCCGGAAGCCTCTCTCGTCGCCGGTTCAGCACCGCAGCCGACCGCGCGGCACATCACGGGGGCAAAGGATGCGTGCCGGGGCGAGAGAGTGTCGTGATAAGATGTTAGACACGTGCGTCGAAGCTGGTGAAAGCCTGATCTGGCGGAGACCCCCACGCCGATAGCAGACGAGTTAGTCGCTTGCTCGGCCCATTCCTCCTCTGAGGTCTGGCACACTCGGCCTCGGACTTTTATGTTTTGCAGCTTCCTCATTGAGAAAAGTTTGTTTTACAAGTGCGGACTTTGCAAGCTATTTTCCACTCCAGAGTGGTTTGATGGTCCGCCATCTGCATTCTACAAAGGCGAGCGGTACCGATAGGTGCTGCTCGGAGACCAGCGGAGGAGACCGAGGTGCAAACAGCCCGGGTGTCTCAGTCCCCTCGCCGTGCCTACCTCACCACGCTGAGGTCCATCCTCTCAAGGCGGTGTTTGGGGGCCATGTTACCCGGTCAGAAAACACCAAAACCCAATCAGGTGAGGCTCCCGGGCATCATCCAATCATGTGAGGCTCTCGGGCTTCATCCAATCAGGTGAGGCTCCCGGGCATCATCCAATCAGGTGATGTTCCGGGGACATCATCCAATCAGGTGAGGCTCTCGGACATCATCCAATCGGGTGAGGCTCCCGGGCATCATCCCATCAGATGACGTTCCCGGGGCATCATCCAATCAGGTAAGGCTCTCGGGCATCATCCAATCAGGTGACGTTCCCGGGCATCATGCAATCAGGTAAGGCTCCCGGGCATCATCCAATCAGGTGACGCCCCCGGGGCAAAGTGGGGCGCTGCTATGCCGCGACATCACATTGCATGTTTAAACCTTTTTTTCGGATTATTGATAGTGTGCGGCCACACACGTGAGCGTCACGTCGGGGAAGAATACTGAGTGAACCCAGTCAAGCAGTGGCTTCAGGCCTGTGTGTCAAGATTTTCCGCCTCATGCTTGTCGAGGATCATATGTGCCGTGGAATGGGTATCCTGCATGTGGTAAGAAGTAGCAGTTACTCGCGAATTGGATAAAATTTCCATCTGTTCGTGAATTGACGAGGGAAATATTATTTATAATATATTGGCCGTGCTTTATAGGTGCTGGTCGGGGAACTTGCATTTACATTTTCAGGAAGATAAACGGAATGGAAAGAGGCTTCAACGCCGAATGTCAATTTCAATGGCGCATAACCATTGGGGAACCATACTGCAACAAGTCGCTGAGTGCATTGCGCTTGAACCTCATGCTCCTGGCTGCAGTGTCGACCTCAAAAAGCATGTTTTGCATCGTCTTTTCGCCCTGTGGAACATCTCGTCGTCTCTCCAAATGGCCGACACATGCCCACCATTATTCCGATGTAGGAGGAAAACAACACAGACAGTTACATGGAAAATTTATTGAACCCATAATTGTCTGGTAGTTGACTCACACAGATGTCATACACGGTAAGTTACGACTAGATGCTGAGATTATTGAGCACGAACCAAACAATAGAAAAGGTGGCCCTCCGAAGATGTGGTGAGTGCACAAGAACCAAACTCTGAACGCGCGCCGCGATGGTACAAGGTGAATTGCCCCCGGGCGCGACGCGGTCGGCGGTCCTCGAAACAGGGGACGATAAGGTATTAAAATATTTCAGGGTCTGAATTTCCGGGAAACGGTGCGGCTGCGGTCCAACCGGGTATCCTAACAAGTACGCTACTGTTCTAGATCGCATGGTTCGCCACACTCACTCTCTCGCAGGAAACCCTGTCAACCGAACAGGAGCGTCAAATCGAACACAGGGCATCTTACGTACTAACCGCAATCATTAACAAACAATAGCAAAGGATAGAAAACCAGCTACACATGCCTACTCTGGAAGAAGATAATACACCAATGGAATGCTGCAACCATCCGGGGGCCCTCTCCTGTCGCAATGAGGCGCCGCCCAGTCCCGTCAATACAGGGAGCACCCGTAGCTCGCGTCCTCCGTTTGGCACAAACTCAGGACCTTAAAGCTAATCGAGTCGTATATGTATATCCGACGCCGCACACAGGTCTGCGCGTCTAAGCCTACAACAAACGTCGCGCCGGCCGCCGCCGGAGCTTGCCGAAATTCGGGATATCACATAGAGAAATATATGCGCGCGACTGCACAGAAAACCCCGGCGGCGCTGCCAACCGGGCGCCAACGTCAGACTAGCGGCGCAAACAAGCAGAACGCACGTGCCACAATTGCACTGATTGCAGGATTAGGCGAAAATGACTAGGTAAACGAGCTCAACTCCTCGAGCAACGCATCGATTCGGGCTCCTGAAAAAGAAAGCACAACTAAAAAATGGGAAAATCATACGAAATGCGCGAAACAAAATGCAAAAAAGGCATGGGATACCATAATAAGCCATGGCAAAACACAAGAGTATGTAGAAACGAAACACCGCATGCAGGTGAGGTAGATAGTAGAGTTATAACGCTGAAGAGGATGTAGGCAGGGCAGGGATGATACAATGCCAACTAAAACGCTAGCAAATAGTTATCAAACTACTCATCTCCCATTTAAAGAACCGTTGACACATAGTTGACTTAAAATGTATAGCAGCTTTGAGCACCACATATTGACCACGCCCTCTCCCATTATACCACAACTCTCACTCGACGCACGTCAGCAACCACCGCTCGGCCCAAATGATTCAAAATTCGCATTCAGCCGTTCGCACAGTAACAACGCCAATGAGCAACTAAAATCGCTACAAACAATTGTATGAGGGCCAGCCCCGCCACATGGCCCGTCAGAGGGCGTCCCCAGTCATCCCGGTATCGCACCAACCGTGCCCCGATCCTATCAGTGCCGCCGCCGCCAGCCAAACCGGAGCCGGCCCCGGGGCCGCAGCGGCGGCGGTCCACAACAACAGTTCAACAATCGGCCGCCAGGGGCGCTGCCTCCGCCGTGGCGACCGGTGCCGCCGTCCACTACCCGCGCCGGCGGCACAGCGGGCGGCTCGCCGGTCGACGTCGCTCGCGCCGCGGCTCGCCGGCGTGCTCGAGATTCTCCCGCGGCCTCCTCGAGCCCTCGGGCGGGCGCGCGGGTTAGTGCGATCGACGCGGCCGTGTCGGTGGGTTAGTTCGCTGCTACTCGTGCTTACTGGCTAGCCGGGCGGCGTCGGCCTTGCTGCGCGTGCCGGCCGCCGCCGCGTGCGGGTGCTGCGCGTAGCCCGGGTGGTCGTCAAAGATGACGCGTTCGCCGGGCCGCGGCGGCAGCGCGCGCGGGTCGTGGAACAGCGGACCGCGCGGTTTCCACACCGGAGACCCTGGCGAGGGAGGGCAGACGCTTACCGGGGCAGCGGGCGTGGTCAGAGAGTCGAGGGTCAGGCTGACACACTGGGAGCTTTTGGCAAAGGCACCATTAATTGACCATCACAAGATCCTGCGCATGCCACAAGGTGTGTGCCACACGCCTTGTGCCTTAAGTGCGGCAGATGAGCAAGTGCTGACACGGAACAGCATCGGCACATGACAGCAGAACGCATCGGACACCCCGCGTGAGGCGGCCAGACGGCGTCACCTGCCGGGGACGCACCGGCGGCGCGGGCGTGCGGCGGCTGGTAGTGCTCGGGCGCGTTGCTGGCCTGGATGAGGCGCGCCTGGCTGCCGGTGCTGCCCGCCGACAGCGTGCTGGAAGTGCTGAGGCTCAGATGGTTGGGGATGCGGCCCAGCTGGCCGGGCCGCCGCGGCAGCACCTCCTCCTCGGCGTCTGAGCGCGACGTGTCGTCACGCACGTCTGAGCCGTCGTCGCCGCGCTGGCCGCCGGTCGGGCCCGCCGCGCCCGGACGGCCTGCAGGTGAGAGCGTCACTCAGCGCGGCGGGGGGGGCCTGACGTGACCGGCGCGGGCGGACGGCTCCAGGTCGTGGTTAGGCACGATCGGATGACGGCGTGGAGTGACGTCAGCGAAGTCTCACGTGAGACACGACACAGTTGAGGAAACCATGCTGAACACATCCCAACCACCCCTTGTAGCTTTGTATGTCGCCTCGTTTTGATTATTCGGTGCAGGACAGACATCAGTGCAGCATTTTGAACGCCGGTAAAACCGGGCCAAGCCCTTACTAATAAAAGTGGGTAACGTTACGTTTTTCAACGCAATGCGGTGGTGATGCTCGAATAAATCCGTGCCAAAACGTCATGTTTAGGAACTAATACCTTTGCAACATTCGGATGAAAGTCACAGAGAATCATGGCTAGAACAGATGTCACAGTGTGATCTTTTACAGAGGTTCATGACCAGAGCACATGTCACAGTGTGATCACAGTATCACAACACTTCCCGGTCAGTAATATCCGTTAACAGGCATAGCTTGATTTCACACAAAAATTAAAAGGTAGCTAAAACTTCATAAGTTATGCCTTATTCTACAGATTTACCTATATATATATATATATATATATATATATATATATATATATATATATATATATATATATATGTGAAAATAAATGCAAGCTAGTCCAATAATAATTACATGCACTGCATGCGATGCGAGCTGCACATGTAACGCCAGCTATTCCTATTACCAGCCACCCTGACTGTGACGCATAGTTTGTACCAGATGCGTGCATCCGACCCTCGCAGATTCGCGCTGGTGACCCAGCAGTATTCTGAAGTCCAGTTGTACCGTCCGGGCACTAGTTAAGGGTTGAGGCTTGGCCCAGGACGGGATTCGTGCCGATCAATAATCCCACGCTACGCATGCTTCCATTCGAACAGCGCGACTTCCTTGCGTCTGTCGTTTAGAACCGCCTCTCCGCCAATGACATTAGGAGAAGGCAGACGGCTGCGAAGTTAATTTTGTCCCGCAACACGCCTGGCACCAGTGGCGGGTCAGGTAGGTACGCTGACAGGGCCGCATGGCCCGATAGGTGGCGGCACGGGCGCTTTACCGGGACCGGAGGCATCCATGGTGCGGCTGCGCCCCCTCAGGTTGGTGTCACTCCCCGATACACTCTCGTGGTAGCCGTCCAGATTGTCGTAGTCAATGGTGGCGGCTGCGGCAGCGAACACGCGCGCTGTCACCAACAGTCCGTGTACGTCTAGCGCAGTGCCTGGCCAGTCAGTGTGAGGTATCGCAACTTTGAGCGCAAAACAGAATCAAGCTCATCTTTCACTTGAGTTTGAGAAAAATGCAAAGCTGGGCGGACATAGTGATAATGTAATAAAGAATGAAATAATATTGGTCACTGCGCAGTTGCACGAATGCCATTCAACGATCGGACAGCTTTCTGTGGCAAATCAAGTGGCACCCTTCAAGGCATGGACCTAGTCGACCGCACTGCATCAAATGAGCTCCAGCAGGCTGGAGCGAGCAGCCAGTGACTCAGCCAGAGATGATCCGAACATCAGAGGGGCGGGACGAATGAATGACCACAAATTTGCGCGGGACGGACGCCGCCTGAGGCGCGATAAATCTCTTCGTTCCGTTGAGCCTATCCTATATCCAGTAACTCTGGGCTTTATCGCAGCAGACTTGGCTTGGTCTTGAGTCTCGGAAAGTTTCGTTCGATTCTCAGTCATCGTCGTGTAAACAGCAGCCAGTGCCGTTCGATTATCAGTCAGTCTCGTTCGATTATCAGTCAGTCTCGTTCGAATGGGCTCGTTCGCAGAGTCCGGCATATGCGGTGGGCGCTTATCCATAATGTATCGGTTGGCGAAGTCGCAATGACTGGTAAATCGAGGGACAAGGCAAATTCACGCAGAGAACCTTCTTTAGTTTCACAGACACTGCCAGAGGCAGAAAAGTCGCGATCAATAAACGAGGGCACTGAGCTGTATGATGACGGTGTTTGGGGGCAAGGACATTGAGCTATATATGTGAGGCCTGAGTTATCCGTGAGTTCACGGGTCGCGTGTCACGGGTTATCCTGTCCTCAAACAGTCCCCACCCTGCTGCAGGACAGCGGCACGATTCCACTCCAAAGGACGTCAGAGCCGGCGAACGGACCCACACACAACACACACGCCACGGTTCCCCCCACGCTACCGAGCGCTGGCTGTTCACCACCCCCAACCACTCCTCACAGCACCATCGACAGTGGCCAGGTGGAGCACTCACACATGCCGGCCGAGTGGCGCTGGCCCTTGTTCTGCATCTTCTTCCGCATGCTGAGCGTGCGCGACGGCTGCAGCGTGCCCGTCTTGTAGCTGCTTGTGCTGGCCGCCTTCGTGACCGGGATGCTCATGTTGCGCACGCTCTCCCGGATGATCTGACGGATGGTCTTCAGGAACGCGTTCCGGAAATCGCTTGTGCTGCAACAGCGGTCCTTCGGGTTTAAAGTACCTCCACAAGCATCCGAACGACCGGGTTATGTAAGGCATGGTCATCACGGCACGAACATCCTCAAGGCTTCACCGACAGTGGTATAAGATTTGTCCGCCCAAGATTTCAAAGCAGCGTGCGGCATACCTTGATATTTTTTCTGCAAAGTAATTACGCTGGGATCGCCTCCCTCCACCCTGACTGGGTGCGAATTAAATTCAACGCGTCAATACGGCAGACGTCTGCGCCTGAGCCACATTCCTCGACATCAGCCCAGTGCCGATTATGTCCGATGCACACAATCTGAGGTCGGGTCGCACTCTGACCGCGCTGTGCCACCATGGCCGGGGTTTGTAGCACCAATTGGACACAATGTGATGCTGGGTCGCACTCTAACCGCGCTGTGCCGCGATGGCCGGGGTTTGTAGCACCAACTGGACACAATGTGATGCTGGGTCGCACTCTGACCGCGCTGTGCCGCGATGGCCAGTGTCTGTAGCACCGTACCGAACTCTGAATATTGGGGGCTTTCGTCCCCACATAGCAAACATATTCGAACCATAAACATACAAGTCTCTCTAATAAAATTGTTCAACTAAAAATTATAGCGTAAGGCAAGCCGACCACGACATTTTTATCCGATGTTCCGCACACTAAAAACGCGGGCACAGAACTGCGCAGGACGCGCACACCGTAAGCATGCGAGACGGAATTTGCCGGCATCACTACACTGGACTACTGGCAATCGCACTGGAAGAGCTGCATCGAACGTTCTACACGCTTTGCAGAGAGATCAAATGACTAAAGTTCTCAGAATATTTCACCACGGTGTCTAATCCGGCTGCCGAAATCTGACAGAACTTTTCAGCGCGCCTCAAAACCGCAAATCATCGCTGTCCGCTGGAGCAGGAGTGATCTGCCGCACAGCAGCACGATCATCTGCATCAGGACCATTGCCCGGCTACTCTTAATCATGATGTGTTATTCTCTCGTCGTTGTTCATACTCATGGCTCTAGAGGCAATGGCCAAGCTCCCATACGCGTTTTGGATTTTGAAGCGTTTCACGTGTGTACTGTGTAAGCATCACATAAGCCAAGTTCGTTGTGCGTTTGAGTTTAAAATGGAGCAATAGTTATACCCTTATGGTACCACAACCCCTGCTCTTCCATCAAAGGTTCCCATTAGAACGGGTGCTCGATGGGCGATTCGACTGGGCACTCCACAACTTGTCCCTTTGTCAAGTCCCCAAGTGGTGATGCGTAACGTGTGCAAAGCGCATGCGCATTTTCTGTGACGCACGTTTCGACTGATAGCATGCAATGTTAAAGATACGTTGCAAGCTGTGTAACACACATGGCAAGTCATGCCAGTAGCGCAGCTGACCGTATTTACACAAATCCTCCAAACTCTCCCTTTTACGGCGCACCCGCGATCTATTGGCGATCGACCGCCACCTGAATCCCGAAGCTCGCAGAATCGCGCCGAGAGAACGGCAGAGAAGACGCACTCACTTAAAACCCATGCCAAGTTTCGGTTCACACAGATGTGATTTGACATGATTTAGAGGCATTCCCGTAGTACACCTCCTTTATACCCCGGCCGACCGCTGGAATACCACGAACAACGGCCATTCTTGCATGCTCAGTGATGCAGGCATACGGACACTTGGATTTTCATATAATAGAACGACGGTAAAAGAAGCCGATACCAAGCACAGCCAAGGAGTGGACGAAGCCACCAGGGGGGGGGGGGGGGGGGTAAAAACGCTTGCACTGCCTGGTCATTGGTGATCAGTGGACTCAGTTAGTTCAGTATGCCACGGTTCAATATCTAGCAATTGTGTGCGTTGTAACAATAACTGGCCTAACGAGCTATTCGGGTCTAAAGGGGATTATGAGCCGCTAAGTAGAAAGTCAATGGCTAATTGCTCATAAAAAATACAAAAATGAAAAAATAATGCAAAATGTCCAGATCTAGCACATAGCAACGGCCAACTCAAACCATGACACCAGGAATGAGAAAAGATAAAAGGAGAACACCACATCGACAGATATATGTGTTGTGTGAAATGGGGCCGGGATGTGAAAGAAAGAGATGGGTAGAGAAAATCGGCTCGAGTTATGAGCTTGGCATACGGAGAGACGGGTTGCGGCCGGTAACGTGGCACGTCTGTGATGTGATGCATGTAATGATTATATATATATATATATATATATATATATATATATATATATATGTGTGTGTGTGTGTGTCACAAGGAAAAGTCATGCCTGCTCTTTGCATTGAGCGCGCACCACCTGCCACCGTAGCAATGGCTGAGCTAGTCCTAACATAAGCCGACAATGGAATGCAGTTCGTTCTTTTGCCAGCTAGCGGCCACTTCATTGCATTCCTGTACACATCTCATTATCATCCTCGGCACACGCTGCGAGGGGAACTCGCAAATTCGGCGAAAGCCAGGTTCACCAGGCTGGGACATGGATTACTCCTAATCGAAAATTGCGAGAGCAGAATAGAAATATTCTAGCGGCGTCTGAAAACATTGCGCGGAACGTGGTGTACAAAAGGGAGTAGTGACCAGTGCAGGGCATTCCGTGGATTCTGCAATCGCCTACCTTCTTACAGAACTGGCATAAGTCGCACGTTACTAGGCTATGAAAGTGGGTGAGTTGGGTGAGGGGATGATGCCGAAAGTATCAGGCAGATATCTTGAAGTTATTCATAATTCCAACGTAAATTATCGTTGGTTACCACGATTTTGGTTGAATCCAGATAGCATTCAAGCCTTGAAAATATGCTTCAGCAAAGTTGTCATCTACTCCAAAACGAACTTTAAGTACTGTCTGCTTGCAATCGCATTTGTCTGTTTTGCAAACCCAACTCGACCGTGGACAACGTGCTCACCTGTTGGAAAGGTGGTAAACCTTCTCGTTACGCCGATGGATCTGCGACTTGAGGTGGATAAGCTCCCAGAGGTAGTGGTTCTCTACGTCGCGACAGGACGAGGCGCGCACCTGCACCTCCGTCACCGGGATCAGCACCTGGTACCGGATAATCTCCACCTCGGCAGGGTTACCCTTGCCCGGCGCGCTCTGTGGGGGGGGGGGGGAGGGAGCGGCTGTGGTCAGCATGGGTCGCACGGCGCGATGCGCGAGGTTTTGGAGGAATTAGAGGAGTGACAAGCTCAGAACGGAGTGTCTGATCAGAGCAGAGACTAGACATATCACTGGCGCGATGCACGAGGTTTTAGAGGAATTAAAGGAGCGATTAGCTCAGAACGGAGCAACTGATCCAAGCAGAGACTAGAGATGTAAGTGGCAATGTGGTTCACGACTGAGCTGGCTGCCAGCGCGAAGGTGACGGATTCGGCGGACATGACTTCTTGTGAAGTATCGCCGGACAAAGGGATACGCCCGCACGAACCCAGGGTATGCTGTCTAGTCCTTGTGGATAAACAGCTCGTAGTTCACTTCTCGATACAAATTACAACACCGACATTCTGAATGACTAACTCATGCATTGATGACGCGTTTGCAGTTTGCGGTGGTTCATAAAGTAGTCTGTCTGCTACGTGCAAATGTAAAGTTTATTTAAGCAGAAGGCCTAACTCACCATGAGCTTCTTCTTCTGTCTCAGTCGCTCCTTGCAGAGGAAGACGACGGCGGTCTTGAAGACAAAGCACATGGCGTGAAGCTCGAGGCCCTTCTTGATTTTGCCGAGGAAGTCCGATATATTCAACCACTCCACCCCACCATAGTACAGAAGGTCGCCAGGCGACAAATCCACCGGCTGAAAATGGGCCATGTGGCGCTGTCAACAGGTCTGTGCTTCATGACTGCTTCAAAAGGCATGCGACAGATCCAGCGGACACTGAGCGCTCATGTGTACAGTTCGCAAACGGTAAAATGTGCAACACTTACAGATGCCACAGGCAGGACCATTTTGGTTGACTTCTGGTGCTGCCGGAACAAGTGATCAAAGATGGCGCCGTACTCCTCGTGAATGCGCTGCATTTCGTTGATGTGCTCGGCCACTTTCTCCATCCCCTTCAGCGCCTCTGCCGAAAGAAAACCGCACAATGTCGTCTGGACTCAGTGGCGGAGTGGGTACGTTTCAGAAACTACTCGTACTGAGGGCAGGAGGAGGTCACGTGACAGCGACAGTGCTCGGGAGCCCAGACGATCAATAAGTGAGGTTTGTGCGGGGTGCTGGCACGGCACTAACAGAATATTCCAGAACAGAGCATCTTTTGTATTTTCCTGGGGGTCAAAGTTCGCTTGTGCGGCCTTTCCCAAAGATGTCTGCAAATACAAATGTTCGCCGCCACAAATGCATCCGGTGAGTACAGCATCCGCTCATCGCAAGTCAGGCTAATGCGTAGCTCAGTTAAGTCACGCTCATACTGAGCGCCTGAATGCACTTCTCCCCCCCCCCCCACCCCCCCACCCCTCACCCCCCATCCCCGAAGACGCAGCGAGCATCTACGTAAACTGATTTGGAAGCCACACAGGTGAATGACACAGCGCGGTCCCATCACCCTGGCAGTGAACCATACCGACGAGACAGGCCGACAATAATATATGGCATAATAATCTAATGATCTATATGACCTCTGAGATAGTGCCTCAGTCGTCAATGGGGTCATAATGGTCAAAGTAGACCTGAAATCGGCTCACAACTCAACCAGAACGGCTGTTAGGTAAACGTCAGAGGCCTCCAAACTGACAGCCACCGTAACAACTCTGGTTATACAGCCTTCGCGTCAGTTGACACATTCCACAACAACGGTGTCTTCCTCACGAACGGCTGTCTGGCGGATAGTCCGGGCACACCCATGTCATGTACTGCGTTTAACCCGACACCAGAGCCCCGAGGACCGCCCACCGAGCGGCCTGTCAGACTCTCCTCTGATGCTCTCCACCTACTCTCTTGGTGACGACGCTGCTTTCTATCCCCGTCGGTGATGGTGCCACTCCCATTTTTCTTCCCAGATCGTGATGATGTTTTCCGGGTACCATCTAGGCCGCGCTGCTCATCCTCACCTGCCTTCCAGGTGGTGGTGGTGCTAACATCCGTTAGAAGCCCTCAACCTCCACCGGCAGTGCTACCCTTCACCTATCCTCCAGGTGGTGGTGCTACCCACGATTACGAGCCCTCTACCCCAAGCGGTAGGGCTCCCCTCCACTTACCCTCCAGGTGGTGGTGTTCGCCCGACTGCGGGTCGGCCAGGTTTCGCAGCTGCTGCAGCAGCAGCGGGTACTTGAGGATGCGTTGGATGGGCTTGATCAGATAGCTCTCGAGCGTGGACGAGTGCTGCTGGCGCGGGTTCTGCCGCTGCAGGAACTGCTGCAGCTGCTGGTTGCCTTCACCTGAGCACCAGGAGGTTGCGTCATTCGCAGATGCTGTGAAGGTTACATTTAGCTTCATGGGCATGAGGCGATAGCCCACCACTAGTAAATTAGGTGCGGAGAGGTGCTCAGTGCCGAACGTTCAGTGTGATTGCAAGTGAGATCATTGAAGTTTATATTTACCTTGTCTGTGCATTTTAAAGCTTCAAGCGGGGCAGCTAATCAAACCCCGCCTCACCTGACGGAATCCATACCGGGGGGAGCGTTTTCGATGTAACTTTGGTCGGTCAAGCAGAAAACAAACATCAACTTACTTGGATGGAGGACTTTTTGTGCTCTTGAATGGCTGGCGCAGAAGGAACTATATAACTTGAAACTATTCGTATGATACAAGAATGCGTTGCCTATGGAGAATAGCACGTTCTGAAAGGTGAGTATTTCAAACATTAGTCAGACGAACACAAACAAAATCATGCGCAAAACAGGCTGAAAATTCGGGCGTGTCCTGCCCAAGTGTGCTCTAGACGCGACTTGAGCGGCGCTTCATCCGCCACAAGTGCGCAAACTGCGCGGGCCCGATGTGACTCAACACATGTCATGCCCAATGGAGCCGTGCCACATCTATGCATACTGAGGTTTGACTGCAGGTTTGACTGTAGGTTTGACTGCAGTTGTACATTATCGTAACGTACGAAGTACGTTACGAAGTACGAAGTACGAAGTACGTAACGTCACCAAGATGAGCGCGCGCCACAAGGTGACAAGGGCAGGTATTTTACGAAGGAAGAAGAATGTGTCGCGCAAGAATTGCACCGGTCCACCGTCAGCATCGGCACGTGCGCAGAGGACACGCCCTGGACCGCACACTGACCGTCCAGGGGCCGCGAGGACCGCACACTGACCGTCCAGGGGCCGCGAGGACCGCACACCGGCCGTCCAGGGGCCGCGAGGACCGCACACTGACCGTCCAGGGGCCGCGAGGACCGCACACTGACCGTCCAGGGGCCGCGAGGACCGCACACTGACCGTCCAGGGGGCGCGAGGACCGCATACTGACCGTCCAGGGGGCGCGAGGACCGCACACTGACCGGGGCCGCGAGGACCGCACACTGACCGTCCAGGGGGCGCGAGGACCGCACACTGACCGTCCAGGGGCCGCGAGGACCGCACACTGACCGTCCAGGGGGCGCGAGGACCGCACACTGACCATCCAGGGGGCGCGAGCGAAGGACAACGTCTTCAAACCACCTTCAGTCGACACAGCAGGAATCACACGCACCTTGAACTGCGTGGGCGTCTCCAGTCGGCCCAGGTTGGGCTCCATCTCGACGGCCTCCTCCAGGCTCTGCAGGAAGTCGCGCTGGAACTCCACGATGTCGGGGATGTTGCCGAAGAGCGCGTTGATCTCGGCTGGCGTGATGAACGACTCCCGCCGCAGCGGCTCCAGGTAGTTGTCGATCAGGGAGTTCAGATGCTGCGGAGTGGCCGCGCGCCGTCAGTCGCCGGGTCCGCTCACCGCACCACGAGCGCTGTCACATTCGACACAATGGCCGTCGGAATATCGGGACAAGGTCGTGTGAGGGTCAGGTGAGATGTGTACCGTGTGAAGTTTTTGGCCTAACGTGTGAAGTCTGTAACGTGCGAAGCGTGAAGTCAGAACATAACATCACCCAGGGGAGCACTAAGTGCTGTAACACACGTGACACACAAACACGGTAATTTGCGTGCAGCCCAGCGTTGTGAGGTAGTGATTCCGCCGGTCATTTGACAGCTTATGTGTCCCCGGGACTGTGACACCGAAGCCAACTGCCCGCGAACACGCCAGCGTTGGTGACGATCAACGGAGTACTTCTAACGCGCGTATTGCTTCAACATCAGCTATGAATAGCGGCCTAGATTTCACATAACTCTCTCCTTCCTAGCCACTATCACTGCCGTTGGCTGCCAGCCGCCGGGTGGAGGGGGAGGGAGGGGGCGTCGACGAGCCGTCCATGATCACGTGCCGTGGGCCCGTCGGCGGCAGACTGGCCGGCCAGCCGTCGCTGGGCGGAGGGCGCCGGTCGATGTCTGCCAGCGGGCCGGCGGCGCCCGCCGGCGTGCAGGTCGGCGCTGGCAAGGGCCGAGCGGAGGCGGGGGCGGGGGTGGCGGCAGACCGAGAGAGGGAGAGAGAGGGAGAGAGGGAGGGAGGGAGAGAGAAAAAGAAAGGGAGGGAGAGAGAGTGGGTAGGGGAGAAAGAGAGAGAGAGAGAGAGAGAGAGAGGGGGGGGGGGAGTGACCGAGGGAGGGAGGGAGATTTGGGGCTAACCGTTGGGCCAGGGTCCGAGCTTGCGCTGAGGCGCCGTAATGTGCCGACGGCGGTCAGACGAGCATGGACGGAATCGGACCGCGACACTACCAGGACGCGGTTACGTCAGGAGAGGACATTGTGAAGCCTTGCGATTCAATTTGAGGTTAGACGGCGGTCAACAAGTTACTCGTCATCTCTCGTTAGCCATGGGCTCGGCATTATCGACCAATACTGGCCTGGGCTGTCCTACTGCTAACTGAGACCAGGCTGGTCCAGCCACAGCGCGGGACGCTTTATCGGGCTGCATTTTTCGTGAAGGGCTCGTATATACATCACGGACAAAGCAGGTGTCACAGTCACGGGGGCGGTTATGGCACCGGCTCGAGTTTCTCTGGCCAAACTGGGAGCTGGAGCTGTCTGCTACAATGGGGTATATTGGTACGCTTTCTCTTTCAAGACCAGGTCGTAAAACCTAAGATGTGCCGCGAGCATCAGCCCCTGCATGGGGCAGCCTAGGCATGATGCAGTTGTCGTAAATAAATCCAAGGGGCAATGCTTGAATAACTAGGATTTAGATGCATTCAGTCAGCGGAAGCCACCTCGACGTTAGTGGGTTTGATGAAAATAGCAAGAGCACGTAGAAACGCAATTTACCGGTAAATAAGATACCTCTGACAGTGAGTTCTAGACCAGAGCGACGGAGCGCGTCGCGTTAAACATCGAGGCAATCGCACACAGGGTGAAGCAGGCCGCAAAATCCAGGCCAAACGCTTCTTTCAGTGGTGCCGGCCGTGCCAGACAGCAAACGTATCTCCTCCTCCGGGGGGGTGAGTGAGTTCATGCCGTAGCTAGAGTGAGGCGGCCCCAGCAGCGGTTCTCACCTTGACGCAGGCGCCCCAGCAGCGGTTCTCACCCTGACGAGGGCGCCCCAGCAATGGTTCTCACCCTGACACAGGCGCCCCAGCAGCGGTTCTCACCTTGACGCAGGCGCCCCAGCAGCGGTTCTCACCCTGACGAGGGCGCCCCAGCAGCGGTTCTCACCTTGACGTAGGTGCGCTCCGTGTCGATCAGTTCCGTGAGCACCTTGCGCAGCTTATCGGCGTCGCTCAGATGCCGGCTGGGCGTCATGGTCTGGCTCTGGCTGGAGGCTATGCTGGAGGTGGGCGAGGGCCCGCGCGGCGGGTCGGCCGGCGAGCGGCAGTAGCCCGTCACCAAGGTGGCGCTCTGCGGACGGCGCCAGGGCCCGGTCAGCCGGCGGGACTAGCGCACGCCTCTGGCGCCCCATGGACTTCAACAGACGTTTCGAGACCCACCTGCGACTACGCCCACACTGGTACAGAATGGTCGGTGACTTCGCTCCGACGAGGGGTATTTTCCGGCAACATCTGCTCCCCGAAATCCCCCGCGCGCGACCTCGCACACTATGACACATAAACACGTGCATATCCAGGCCGGTCCCGGAGACGCCTTTCGTGTGGCGCCAAACCGTGCCAGGCAGGGTCTACAGCGGCCATTAGTTCGGCAGGCCCATGGTTCGTTATGAGTAACTGATGCAAGATTTCACGGGACTGGGATTAGAACCTACCAAGCTCAGGACAAGTCTAATGTTCGCAATCCTGTGCAGGTATACTGGGCTGCGTAATACCCTGCCCAGCATCTGGATCATGAACCGATTCCCTGCACATCCCGTACTGGGAGACGCGGCTCAGCCGCTATCAATAACGGTGGCCCTCCTTGGACGCGGCCTCGCCGCTCATCCAGCCCGGCATATCGAGCCCTCATGGCGCGCTCTTCTGCTGAGCTCAATGCCGGCGGCGCTAAACTGCAGCCGCCAGTTTAACGTCGCACTGGCGGCCCGACATTCCCCGGCTATCGAGGAGATGCAGCGCCAATATTTCACAGGAGTTGCCCGTCATGGATGAGACGGGACGCTCCGGCGCAGACAAACTACACTCAAAATGCGACACGTGCCAGGCAAAGCCCTGGGACGGCCATCATACGGTGGGACGAGCAGATGGTGTTAAGGGGCCATGAAGTGGGTGAAAGATGCGAGATATTTGAGCACCCGTCAGTGTTGTTCTTCTTGGCTTGCGCGTGTCATTTCGTGCGTAGAATCGCGATCACTTTTGTAACGAATACGTTCGAGAACATCCATGACTTCCCCAGATGTTAGAATAAACGCACCCTTCTTTTCCTGCCTTTCTTTTTGCACGGCTGCACATTATGACGCAATAAACCACCCCCGACACGAAAGCTTCAGTCGCTGATCATGGGGGGAGAGTCTGCGTCGGAAGCCCCGCCTCCGCGGCCGCCGGCTCGCGCTCTGCGTACCTTGAGTAGATTCTCGATCTCGACAGACGAGACGTTGGAGCGGTCCGAGGTGTCCGAGGGCGGCGGAGGGCAGCCCTCAATGTCCGCCTTCTCTCGACCTGCAAGACAGCTACCATCAGCCCGACCGGGACGAGTGCAGTGACAGCGAGGGCGCGGCGGCCGCCCTGCCCACGCCATCCAGCTATTCACGTCAGCGCGGTGAGCCCTCTCCGCCTGCGTAGCTCGGCGTCGCCGCCGGCGGCGGATAGGCTCCGGGCTCAGGCCCGCAGATAGGACCCGTCTCAGGTCAGCCAAGTTACCGCTCTGGTGCGGCGGGAGAGCTAAACGCGGGGCCTCGGGCGGCCGTCGGCGGAGATCGAGCGGCAGGAGAGCGGCTTACTCCAGGACTTGACGCTGGGCACGATCATGTTGTTAATGTCGTCGTCCCGGACGGCGTTGTCGGAGGGCGGCGGCGGGCACACCAGGCGCTCGATGATGTCGTCCGTCGACTTCATCAGGTTGGCCACGTCCGGCACCTGCCGCAACGCAACAGTTGGAGACGACCAGACAGGGCAGAATGGCACCCAGGGGTGAAAAAGTGCCTTTTCTGTCACCCACGAAATTTGGAGCCGTCTGATTGTCGCCTGGGATCAATCATTCAGAAACCGTTGCAATATGTCTTTAAATGCAATTAATCACAAAAACAAAGGCAAATTAAATGCAATGCGGTATAACCAAACATTTTCTTTTCCAGAACTCCTTTGCACTGGTCTGTAATGGCGGCACTGATATAGTATAGTTTGAAGTATGTTTCTGGCACCTGCTTAAAAACTAGCTTGATTAAAGTACCATGTTTGGCAGCATCTTATGACTCAACTTGCAGAAACAGCGAAACATCAACGCTTCGACATGTGCTCACGCTGCAAGCGTTAGCGAGTACAGACCAATACTAAGCCTTGAGTTTCGTCGAGCTGGGATAATCTGCTGTAATGTGGTCTTGTCTGCTGAAATATGTTTTCATGTTGACAATTTTGTCACCAATTGGTTCGCAAAAGTGTTATGTCATCAATCATATGCGGTAAATCAGAAACTTTTTCACCCCTGGTGGCAGCAGCCGAAGCGCTGG